ACAAAACCCTAACTATTCCTCTATAATTTGGTGAAGGAATCAATTAAAAATAATACAGGGTTTTCAAATAAACGAGAATCAAAATGGTATCGTTAATAAAAGTCTACCCTGTAGTAATACAACAAAATATGATTCAAGTAATACCTGTATAGCTTAAGTAATGACCTCAATCTATTTATATGACCGTAAATGCAATAATTAGTTGTTTAGCAATAATCATATCATTTGTTTGTTGCAAAACATGTCACAATTGTTTGTATGATATACTCGTATAAAATATAATTAGTTTACAATTGGGTGTAACTATTATAAAGTATTACTTTACAGTACAGTAAATGAATACCCCTTATTTAACATATTAAATTTTATACATTAAAAATTACTTATCAATAAATATACAAATTTCTAGTAAATATTCAAATTAGAAACTTTATTCAAAAATTAAATTTTAATGTTTAAATTAATACAATTTTTAACTTTACCACTGTAATTTGACCATAATAATTTATAATTGTCACTAAATGATCCGTAATCAAATATATGAAATATAACAGTTGAGTCAATTAATTTTTAATCAAAAAATATGATCATAATTGGAAAAAACTAATGCTTAGCAATAATCATGTCATTTGTTTGTCTTAATAATACAGTTATGAATGTGTTTTATGTGATAGTATTTACACTATAATAGAGTTGATATACGCGTTAGTCAATAAAAGTATAACTATTTCACCATTTTATCAAATAATTATTGCTTATATTTCTGTAATAATTCTGATTTTAAATAACATATTTGAGTATTATCTATTATCTATTTATTCTGTAAATATATATTGTATCTTAATTTTTTAAAATTAATTTTATAATTGAAAATTCTTTGTTTTTATTCAATTTTATAATAATAAAAACTAGTTTATTGCATTAAGTCAACACAACAATAATTTTGTGAATAAATCACATTAATAATTGTTTCATATTTCTTATTATTATGGCTTCCGTTATAAATAATTATAAAATTTGTGATCAAATACCCGAAAATTTAAAACAAGAAATTAAACTATTTTTTATTTTCGATGACAGAAAGGGATATAACATACTGTTTGTGACATTTGATGATATGGTGTATGGATTGGGATCTAATACTGAGGGTCAGCTCGAGTTAGAACACAACACACCCATTCATAAACCACTAGAAGTGACAGAATTATGCCATCAAAATATTCATCAGTTTATCAATGGATCGGACTTTGTATTGGCTGTCAATACGGATAATAATGTGATATTCAGTTTTGGTCGCAATGATAAGGGACAATTGGGACGGCATGTGGACGGTGGACAACCTACTGAATTAAGTAACATTGATAAAATCTCCCCGGGTGATTATTCAAAGCATAAGCCTGGTACTATTTCATTCTTCCAATCAAATGAATTAAAAATTCAACAATTAAGTTGTGGTTATTTTCACACAATTGTGTTAACAACTGATGGACGCCTATTTGGATGGGGGAGTAATAACCGATGGCAAATTGGTGATGGCAATAGTCGTTACATCTTAACGCCAATTCCTATTGAATTGTCTGACTATCAAATTAGTAAAGTTATGTGCATTCGATTGACATCAGTTGCCATTACCAGTGATGGACAGGTGTTTATTTGGGGAGCTATGGGGTGTATCACTTGGAAACGCCCACAACTATTGGACAATGTATTTAATATACACAGTGTTTGCTTAGATTGGGGGTATAATAATAACTACTTGCTATCAAACGATGGATTCATATATTTCTATGATTTTGGTGACAAATGTATGAATAGATTAACACATATTGTATTCAATGAACTCAAACAAATATATTCGTATAACAAGAGTACTGAAGTAATTGTGGGCAAATCTGGTCATCAAATATATGAAATTTCTTGTCAACAACCCATTGAAACCAATTATACATCATTTGATGATTACTTTTCACGTGAATTGCAAATCACTTTCAATACAATTTCAGCACATAATCAACAAAATACTGTCCAAAACCAAGTGAATGAAAACACAGACATATGCGGTAAATAAGGAATTCAATTTTATGTATTTATTATATTCATAGAAATAAATATATACCGCAGTAGTATTCATTATATAATGTAGTATTTTACAATAATCTTTACGATATGAACTCTCACTCTTAGAAAATGTAACGTTAGACGAGTCATTTGATGAAATTGGTAAGCTTGGTGAGGGTAGCTATGGAGAGGTGTTCAAAGTTAAAAACAAATGTGACAAACGTTCATATGCTCTTAAGAAATGTTCACTAAGTGGTAATTAATTAATTTTATATCTGATATACAAATTATAGAGTCATTATTTTTATTTGTTTCAAAAGAATTGACAGAAAAAGAGAAACGAAATGTTTTGAATGAAACGCAAAGTCTTGTGAAACTTCGGTCAAAGTTTGTGATTCAATACTACTATTCATGGATTGACGAGAAAGACAATTGTCTTAACATTAAAATGGAGTTATGTTTCAATAATTTGACAAATGTTTTGGAAAATAAGAAATTAGTGTTTAAAGAATTGATGACTAATTTTGAGTTTTATATATCGTATCAAATGTTTCGTGAACTCACAAAATGTGTGCAATATTTGCACGAAAAGCATATCATTCATAGAGACCTCAAACCGGATAATGTGTTGATTTCAATGGACTATAAGATAAAGTTATGTGACTTTGGTTTGGCTAAAGAAGTTGCAAATACTGATTGGTATCGGATGTCTAAAACTAAACATACGGCAGATGTGGGAACTGTTGACTATATGGCACCGGAAGTAAATTCAGATCCAATTGATTACGACCATAGGATAGATATCTACAGTCTATCCCTAATTGGGGCTCAAATATTTGGGTTCAATACAAACGATATAAAGAACGGATTGTATGTATGTTTTGTTTGTGGATATTGATATACATGTTCAGAGGTTAATACCGGACCAGTTCCTTGTTATTATGTTAAGTTAAAGCCCTAATTATTGGACTTACAAGTTAGGTATATACTGACCACTGAATTTGTATAGATATTGATATGTATATCAAATAATTACTCAATTTTTATACTTTACTTACAAATAATAGTCTCTAATTTTAGAATTAAAGTTACCAGTACATATAATCAAGATTTAGTTGAATTGATGAATAAAATGAATGAAATATTGGTGTCTATGTCTGTCAATGAATATTCACAAAACGGTTCAACAGATTGGAATGGTTAGGTTTTTTTTCTCAATGGGTTTTTAAAAACTTTAAAATTCGATAATAAAAAAAGCGGTGGTGAGATCGGTGTCTAGGTGATATGGGAGGTGTCAGGGGGGTGTGGGGTATCCAAAAAGTACCACTCAAATGCGGTATAAGTGATACTTCTCCCGAGTTCTTGATAACGCATTTTAAGTTCAGTTAATTGTTTTTTTAATAAAAATGTATCCAGGTCCTTTTGTGAACATAATTGCATTAGAATGAATAGATAACCATGCTCAATCCATGACGAGTAATATTTGATCACATGTTTCGACTTTACATAAAATGAGTCCCGGATATACATTAAGAAGTAATGAATGTAATTCATGTCCTTCATATCTATTATAAATGATTTGACGTGTTTTTAAGTTTAATAAAATATAATTCATAATTAATTTAAATCTGTGGCTTTATTCTACTATAATCTGGTTATTTCTTACCCTTAAACGCGTATTTAATATTCATTTTGAATAATGAATATGTTTGTTTAGTCAGTTGATGTCGCACGGAGTATATTTTAACATATGGCATATATAACTTATCACGGGTAACTTGTTCACTAATTGTTTCAAACATGGACTCATTTATCATGTTCATTTTTAATTTATCTGAAAATTTCAAAATCCGGCAATTAAAACATTAAAACTTAATATAATATACTTTTGTTATTAAAAGTCTAACCGTTAGTTATGTTTTCATTAGACATCTCGATTATACAATAAGGTTTGCTTCTCATTAGTAATACATAGAAAATGTGACATTTACTGTCAATTATAGCATAAAAATATAATTTGAATTCATTTTCTCCAATAATGGGTTTATTTGTCACAAATGTCTGCAATTGTGATAAAATGTGCGAACATTCGGGTCTTTGCCTCCAATCTGTTGAACCGTTTTGTGAATATTCATTGACAGACATAGACACCAATATTTCATTCATTTTATTCATCAATTCAACTAAATCTTGATTATATGTACTGGTAACTTTAATTCTAAAATTAGAAAGACTATTATTTGTAAGTAATGTATAAAAATGGAGTAATTATTTGATATACATATCAATATCTATACATATTCAGTGGTCAGTATATACCTAACTTGTAAATCCAATAATTATGGACCTTAACTTAACATAATAACTAGAAACTTGGTTCGGTATTAACCTCTGAACATGTATATCAATATCCCTAAACAAAACATACATTCCGTGCTTTATATCGTCTGTATCGAACCCAAATATTTGAGCCCCAATTAGGGATAGACTGTAGATATCTGTCAATTGGTTGTAATCAATTGGATCTGAATTTACTTCCGGTGCCATATATTTTATAGTTCCCACATCTGCCGTATGTTTGGCTTTAGACATATTATATTCATCACAATTATGGACTTCTTTAGCCAAACCAAAGTCACATAACTTTATGCGTCCGTCCATTGAAATCAACACATTATCCGGTTTGAGGTCTCTATGAATGATATTCTTTTGATGCAAATATTGCACACATTCTGTGAGTTCACGAAATATTTGATACGATATATAAAACTAAGAAATAGTCATCAATTCATTAAACACTGATTTCTTAATTTCCAAAACATTGTTGAGATTATAGATACATAACTCGATTTGAAAGTAAAGGCAATTGTCTTTTATCCATGAATAGTAGTATTGAATGACAAACTCTGACCGAAGTTTCACAAGACTTTTGGTTTCATTCAAAACATTTTGTTTCTCTTTTTCTGTCAAACCTTATGAAACAAATAATAATAATTACTCTATAATTTGTATATCAGATATAAAATAAATCAATTACCATTTAGTGGACATTTCTTAATTGCATATGAACGTTTGTCGCATTTGTTTTTAACTTTGAACACCTGTCCAAAGTCACCCTGACCAAGCTTATGAATTTCAGCAAATGACTCGTCAAACGTTACATTTTCTAAGAGTGAAAAGCTCATATCGTAATGATTATTGTAAAATACTACAATATATATAATTAATACTATTGCGGTATATATTTATTTCTATGAATATAATAAATACGAAAAATTGAATTCCTTATTTACCACATAATATGTCTGTGTTTTCATTCAATTGGACAGTATTTTGTTGATTATGTGCTGAAATTGTATTGAAAGTGATTTGCAATTCATGTGAAAAGTAATCATCAAATGATGTATAATTGGTATCAAAGGGTTGTTGACAAGAAATTTGATATATTTGATGACCAGATTTGCCCACAATTACTGTAGTCCAATTACGCTTGTTATACGAATATATTTGTTTGAGTTCATTGAATACAATATGTGTTAATCTATTCATACATTTGTCATCAAAAAAATAGAAATATATGAATCCATCGTTTGATAGAAAGTAAATAAATCTATACTCATCTAAGCAAACACTGTGTATATTAAATACATTGTACAATAGTTGGGGTCGTTTTGAAACAGTCGACCCGAACTCTCCCCATATAAACACCTGTCCATCACTGGTAATGGCAAATGATGTATATTTATTGCACACTATTTTACTAATTTGATAGTCAGACAATTCAATAGGAATTGGCTTTAAGATGTAACGAGTATTGCCACCAATTTGCCCTTTTTCATTACTCCCCCATCCAAATAGGCGTCCATCAGTTGTCAACACAATTGTGTGATAATAACCACAACTTAATTGTTGAATGTTTAATTCATTTAAATGGAAGAATGAAATAGTACCAGGCTTATGATATAAACCCCCACGCGGCGAGATTTTAATGATATAACTTAATACAGTACGTACTTTACTGCCCACACGCCGTCCCAATTGTCCCTCACTATTGTGACCAAAACTGAATATCACATTATTATCGGTATTGACAGCCAATACAAAGTCCATTCCATTGATAAACTGATGTATATTTTGATGGCATAATTGTGGCACTTCTACCGGTGTCTCAATGGATGTGTTGTGTCCTAACTCGAGCTGACCGTAAGTATTAGATCCCAATCCATACACCATATCATCAAACGTAACAAACAGTATGTTATGTCCGTAGAAGTCATCGAAAACATAAAATAATTTAATTTCTTGTTTTAAATCTTCGGGTATTTGATCACAAACTTTATAATTATTTATAACGGAAGCCATAATAATAACAAATATTAAACAGTTATTAATGTGATTTATTCACAAAATTATTGTTGTATTGACTTAATGCAATAAACTAGTTTTATTATAAAATTGATTAAAAACAAAAAATTTTCAATTATAAAATTAGTTTTAAAAATTAAGATACAATATATATTTACAGAATAAATAGATAATAGATAAAATACTGTATCATCTTTAGATTAGTAATTTTTGTCAGATTATTTTAATTATAAAATTTATATATAATATTAAAACATAAATTTTATTAAAAGCACTTGTTTTAAGTTACGTAAAATTATTTAAAAAATGTAAATTTACAATTTAGGCTAATATTGCAAAATCTGATTAATGTAATATTAGTGGTAATAATAAATTGAACCCAATATATAATAATACCGGTATAAAAGCAACTTTTATATCATTTTTCATTATTTATCAATTATTTATCATTAGTCCTTCATTTTGATTCATCGATTGATCTTTTTGTATATTATAAACATATGTATTTATAATATACAAAAAGATCAATCGATGAATAAAAATGAATGACTATTCATAAATAATTTGTGATGAATGTAAGCTAAGTTTAAAAACTTTTATTAGTTTGAATGAGTAAACTCTGCTTTCAATGTAAAATTAGTTATCAATAGTCATTCATTTTTATTCATCGATTGATCTTTTTGTATATTATAAATACATATATTTTTATTTAAAAATGATTTAATCTCTCAATTGACAATTCTTTGACGGATTTTAGCGTAGATTTGATTGATATATATGTGACTCAAATGAGAGTTTTTGGTGCAAAACAACGCCTAATGGCTGGTGTTCTCCACGCGTCGCGGCTTTCATGACGGTATGACATGTCATCACATCATATGACAGTACAGTATTGCAAATCTGTCAGTCCGTCCAGTTTTCAACATTTAATTCATTTTATTTAATTAATTATAATTTATACTAAACTAATCTCTTCGATACATAACTAGTGTTGATGTGTACTATAGAATCAAAATTGAAAACTTGGACAAGTATTCTTAGATTTAATCTGTTTAAGAAAATAGTCATTAAACTCTTGTCCGTTCGCGTCATTTGTACGGATAATACGGATATAAATTCGATGGAAGAACACTATGGGAGCGCCCCTTATGTCATACATTCATACATTCATTCAGTTATTGTATTTCTATAAAGAATCACGAATTAAATGTTTCAAATGCTTTTAATATGATTAGGTATACTGTCATTGCTACTGTCATTGTAATCACTTTTAAGCACTATAATGTGTTATAACTAGGAATGAAAAATTATTGGGTCTATAATGTGTATTTATGTGTATTTATATGTATCTATGTGTACGTACTGAATGAAAGAAAATTGTATTAATAGTTTGCAAATAATCTATTAGTAATAAATATGTTTTAGTCAAGTTACCCCCCCCCCTCCGTGTATATTTAGTACTTCAAATCACTTCTCAGCACTTGTTCCCATGAGCCGAAGTCACCCATTCACCCCCTATATAATGCATCCAACTAATAGATTTAAGTATTATTTCTTAAAAGATCTTGATGATATTGAGTTCGAGGAATATCGGACTTCAACACGTAGATCAAATTAAAATTTTCATGTTTTTTATTTCTTAGTTTTTATTAAAATACATGTCATACACCTCATGAATATTCTTATGTATCATTTTATTCATATTACTATTGTATACCACACATCAATTAACTGAATCCAATTTCATCGACTATTACACGCAATCATTACATCTATATATTGGTGTGAATTGAGAGGCGCTGATCAGAGGGGAACCGGAGATCATTGAGTAAAGCCATTGAAAGTTATTCAACACTTATTTTAACCTATATTTTATAATAAATATTCAATTTTATACAAGCTGCCATTTCATTAATTATTATTATATTAATTAATTATCTTTACATTTTGTTTAATTTTATTAATAATAATGCTTATATTTAAAATGATTTCTCATTTATTGTTTTGAATAAATATATTCATTATTATATTGTAAAACAATTTTCAAATGGTTTAACATATTTTAATAAAATTTTTTGAAATTTAAATTAAAAAATTAAAAATTTAAATTATATAATGTTAATCCCATGTAATCCTAAGGGATTAACAAGTAGTACCGAGTCGGTACATTCAAAAACTTTAAAAATTCATAATTAAAAAACCGGTGGTCAAAATGGGGTCTAGGTGGTATGGGAGGTGTCAGGGGGGTGTGGAGTATATTTTTTAATAACCTTATTATATAACATTTTACAAAATTTAGGATAGGTTAGGCATGGTTAGGTTTTTTTTCTCAATGGGTTTTTAAAAACTTTAAAATTCGATAATAAAAAAAGCGGTGGTGAGATCGGTGTCTAGGTGATATGGGAGGTGTCAGGGGGGTGTGGGGTATCCAAAAAGTACCACTCAAATGCGGTATAAGTGATACTTGATCCCACATCCACACTATCACCACAAACACGTCCAACACATCCACACTATCACCACAAACACGTCCAACACATCCACACAACACATGACCACTCATATGGATATATCAGACCAGACGGTGTCCACCATTGAGACGGTGTCTTAATAATATAAGATTTTCAATACAATTTTTATTGCAATTATTCATAACGCTAAATTAACCATTCAAATATATAAATATTGTTTTGCCTGTAAATAATTTATAATGTATGCTTTAATTTTTTTAAGTTTATTTTCCTTTGTCTTTAAATACACCATTTATAATATTTATTATAATATGAGTTAAAACTTTAATTGTTGTTTATTTAAGGTTATGATTCAATAATATTCGTATATTAAATGCAAACCTATTATATTTTTTAAATCGGACATATTTATTAGTAAGGTGAATACCTGTTTAAAGACAATGAAAAAGAAATTTAAAAAAATAAGAGCATACACATTTCACATTCATTCAAAAAACTCAAATAATCTTAATCTAATCTCATTTCTCAAGTAGAAATTGATTTTCTTGATAGTACCAGGCTATAAATAATTGGTTGTATATTTATACTAAGCTTAAAAGGAGATTATTTTACTATAGACTCGTATGGTATTGTATTTGATAATGATATCCAGGTCCGGTAATCTAGCGGATCATATTATTTGTCCATATTGGTGGTTATATCAATCGACGTGATATAACAACAATAAATTTTTTCTATAAAAACTATTCAAATACTAAATTATAATTATAGGAAAGAATCTATTTAACAGCATAATTGTATAGTTTATATATCTCGTCGGCAGATGAATCCAACGATTTTGACATTCCTCTAGGATACTTTAGGAATTTGGGCATTATTATTATACTATGCCATTTTATTATATTAAATACATGTAATCTATGTTATTGTTTTGTTAATTTTATTATAATGAATTTTAATATTGTGTTATATTACTTAGTTTAATTTTAAAATTTGAAATATATAGTTAAATAAGCTAATAATAAATTTGTTAAATATTAAAATTAATTTTAAAACATTTTTACATTATTGTACTACACATCTTTTATCGGCATCATGACCTCTAATAGCATTATTAATTACCATTTCTTGCTCATTATGGGCATCGTCATGAATCTGTTTAAGCTCTTTAATCTTTAAGCTTTTCAGCTCATGAATCTGTTCAATTGTCTTTTTCGTATTTTCACCCTCAATAATTTTGGTGATAAAAGTATCGCGCATCGTCTCAATTTGCTCTAACTTGGCCACAACTAATCTCATATTCTCTTTAAATAAATCCACCTTGCTACCATCAATGGCCCCGAAACAATATGTCCCCAGTTTGCAATAATTGTAGTATTCCTTTGTGGCCGTGTGATTGCGTATATGCGAAATTATGGCAACTTGATGATCGGCGATATAGTCATCGCAATGGGTGACCACCATCATGGAGATGTCGGCGTATGACGGGCCTAGGTATGCGCATAGCCTTTTAAATACTGGAACGTCATGGCGATGAGTCTCTTTGGCCTTTGTCACGAAACACACCACGTTCAACCAGGTGATGTTACGCTCAATGTATAATGACACGCATTTTAACACCTCGTCATCCGTTGGATTTTTTTCGTAATTATCCCGATACTGACAAAATCCAGGTGTGTCTACGATGTTAATCTGGTACGAGTGATAAGTACGTTCATCGGTCACAATGAGCTTGTGCATATGGGCATCCTTTGTATGTGGTAGCAATGAAAAACTATTGCTAAATGTCCCCTTTTGAGGATTTAGTAGTGTTTCTACGATGGTACTTTTTCCGACGTTAGATCGCCCGATGAGTAGCACATTGATGCATTTGGTGTAACTTGCGTTGTAGGCTCCGTAACCGAGCCGACTGTTTTCAGATGATAAATACCTCGAAATGTCATTTTCAGATATATCGTAGTTCCTGTAATGTTTATGAGTACATTTTATTAGATTTTAATGAAATTATTAATCTAGCTACATTTAATGATTTTTAAAATGTAGTAGTCACATATTATAATTAACGTTTTGTTAATCTTATAAAAACATAATATTGAGAAATTCTGAGGTTTTATAAATTCATTTATCACATTATGAACTTATGAAGAAAATATGAGTTTTTTAATTTAAATAACCTTATCTATCAACCAAATACTTTTAAAATTATTTCCTTTTTCTATTACTTAAACGCAACCCATCTATCAATACTAAATAGAAACAAATTTAAAAATAAATTAATCGCAGTTGGGACCATCGAAAGATAAATATAAATTGGGAGGTTATGATTGGCATGTATTGTTACCATTATTTTATTTATGTTCAACCAATGTTTACATCCTCATTTTGGCATTGAAATAA